GGGGAGCGGGGAGGGAGGGGGAAAAATGAGGAGCTGATGCCGGGAACTTAAGTGGAGAGCAAATGTTTTGAGAATGACGAGGGCAATGAATGTACAAATGTGCTTTACACAATTGATATATTTATGGATTGTGATAAGAGTCATATGAGCCCCTAATAAAATGATTAAAAAAAAAAACCCAAAGAATTTTAGTGGTTACAAGGCAGTGGGGCAGGGTAGGAGTCATTATTTTTGGAGTACAGAATATCTGTTTATGATGAAGGAGAATTTGGCACTAGTCAGGGTAATGGTTGCATAGCTGATCAGTCGACTTGGTGACACTAACCTGTGCACTAATGAAAAGTTGAGATGGCAACTGTGTGATAGACATTTTTACAGTAACAACTACAGCAGAAGAATATCAGGGACTGATGCAGTGTATGTACAACCAAACATTTCATGAGATTTGTTTCCTTGGTTTGGAGTTTCAGGGTCATGGTGTCATGGGGCTTTCCAGCTAATAAAATTTTTAGTGCTTCTGTTTTACCTCCCAGTTCATTTCATATTGTATTCTTAAAAGACAGCAAGCAGTCTGTCACGGACATCAATTCGTCTCCATTTGCCTGGAGCAATCTGGCAGGACAAAAGTCATGAATAGGAGGAAGAAATGGAAAATGTGGCCAATCGCCTTCAGGAACAACTGCTTCCTTTGCCTAGAGACCAAAAGAACTAGATCATGACTAACTATAGAACAATCCTGATCAAAAGAGGTGAAAATATGGAACAGAATTTCAAATGTTCACTGACTACAGCCTTTCTGGAGCCATAGCTCGATGAACCTCTGAAACTATTGCCTTGAAAGAATCTTGAAAACTTAAATAAGAAAATATCCCTCCATCTTTTAAAACCAGACAACAGTTTACTTTTCCAGTAAAGCATGTCAGCCTTGAGCATTGGGCACTTTTAAAGCACTTCCAGGCAATCAACTTACAACACTTCCCAAGGGTAGATAAGAAGCTGGGTTTATGGTAATGGAGATTTCTAGAGATTCATGGGGAGACCATTGAAAAAGTAGTATTTGCCGTCTCTGAACTTGAAGAGGCTACCTACCAAAGGCTGCTACCTCTGTATTTCCCAAGGTCGTTGGAGGAGGAGAGCCAGTCATTGCCATACCTTCCTGCGGATATTGGAAATTCAGAAGTGGAGCCTGTAGTACCTGAACGGCAGATTAGGATAAGTGAAAAGCCTGGTGCCCCCGAGGATGACCAGGAAGAAGAGGAGGGTTTGGGAGTTGACCTCTCTTTCATTGGCTCTCATGCATTTGCTCAAATGGAAGGAGATATTGATAAGCAAAGAAGATTGATCCTCCAGGGACAATTATCAGAGGCAGCCCTACAGAAGCAGCATCAAAGAAATTATAATTGTTGGTTATGCCAAGCAAGATCTGAGGATCTGTCCCATATTGCTTCTCTAAAAGCTTTATACCAAACAGGTGTTGATAACTGTGGCTGCACCGTGATGGTGGTAGTTGGAAGAAACATCCCTGTAACATTAATAGATATGGACAAGGCTCTCCTGTATCTCATCCATGTAACGGATCACATCGCTGTGAAGGAATATGTATTAGTGTATTTTCACACACTGACCAGCGAATACAATCACCTCGACACCGATTTCCTGAAGAAACTCTATGATGTTGTGGATGTCAAGTACAAAAGGAATTTAAAGGCTGTATATTTTGTTCATCCAACATTTCGTTCAAAGGTGTCAACATGGTTTTTTACCACCTTTTCTGTCTCAGGACTGAAGGACAAAATCCACCATGTGGATAGCCTCCACCAGCTATTTTCTGCCATATCTCCAGAACAGATCGACTTTCTTCCTTTTGTCCTTGAATATGATGCTCGGGAAAATGGGCCATAGTATACATCGGATCCCCCGTCACCAGATTTCTGACCTGCCGTCTTCAGTGCTGCTGGTTGCCAAGAATGCCACTTTCTCCACAACTCGCTACCTACTGAAGTGATGTTCACTTTTGCTGTACAGATCCA